AAATAAAATGCTATAGCCTAATGACATTACGAAAAGTGCGACAGCGGCAAATCACGTCGTTATTGCACTGCACGAGTTATGCATGGGTAAGGAGTCAAATGTTGTTGTTGTTGTTGTTTTTATCACCCTAATTAGATTATGAAGAATGATTTGTTGATCTTGTTTTCCCTTTAATACATACCTTCCGCAATATATTTTTCAATTACTTTCAAAAAGTGGTAGGGACAATATCGACCCTGGCAAAAAGTGGTGGGGACATGCCCCAGCCGTCCCACCCACAAATTACGCCTATGAAAACAATCATCATAATTTACTCACCCTGTTGTTCAATCCTGTATGACTTTTCTCCTATATTTTTGCATGCAATTACAAGTTTTTAATAATTTAATTTTAAGAAATTATTTTAAGATTCAAGAAGAACACAAAAGGACCATAAAAGTGCTAAATACAATGTGTTGTGTTTCTACTCACTTTCTGGTGTTTTCGTTCTTGAGCAGGGCCTTGGCCTGTTGCTCGCTGATGATGGTGGCTTTGACCTGCGGTGGGTTCATGTGTACGTTCAGTTTGCCACCTACCAGCAAACGCACTGTCGCCGCAAATTTTGTTTGTGTTTTCAGCACCTGAGGAGGCTGCTTTTCGATGATGAAGGTACTGCAAACAAAACAAACACACACATACATGTATTTACTGTACATCCATATCCATAAAATATACTGTTTTTCAAAAAGAAAAAACATGTGCACAACCGTACTTTGGGGTCAGTTTTTTTAAAGAAATTAACACCTATATTCATCAAGGTTGCATTAAATTAATCAAAAGTGACATTACCAAAAGACATTTACACAACTGTTTTCAACATTGATAATAATACGGAATGTTTCTTCAGCACTAAATCATCATATTAGAATGATTTCTGAAGGATCATGTGACACTGAAGATTAATGATCCTGAAAATTCAGCTTTGTCATTACAGGAATAAATTACATGTAAAACATATTAAAAAAGAAATCTACGGAGCGCCTAAAGGGACCTTTGCAAAAATAAAAAATACACAGACTATCGCGTGCGCACGAGAAAAGTTTTGCATGCTCACGAGAAACTATCGTGTGCTCATGAGAAACTTTCATGTACGCACGAGAAAAGTTTTGTGTGCTATCGAGAAATTATCGTGTAAGCACTAGAAAAGTTTTGCGTGCTATCGAGAAACGATCGTGTACGCACTAGAAAAGTTTTGCGTGCTATCGAGAAACTATCGTGTACGCACTACTAAAGTTTTGCGTGCTCAAGGGAAACTATCGCGTGCTCATGAGAAACTTTCACGTACACACGAGAAAAGTTTTGGGTGTTATCGAGAAACTATGGCGTACGCACAAGAAACGTTTTGCGTGCATACGCAGTTTTAATTTCCGGTGTAGGTATTTTGCATTAGCATTATTTTATTGACAAACGTCGAGAGCGCACGATGTAGTGCGAAAGTACATTAATATGATGCGTAAGCGCGAATCTCTACGCTCACATGCGGATTTCCTTTGCTCTAGCATAAAATCGCTTGGATGATTTGAACAAATAAATAACCTAGTCTGTCTAACTGGTTGGTCAAACCCCTCTGAGCGACTTATCTATACAAACGTATATGTTCATACGTTCATTAGGTAATACATGCCCTGTGTACTTGGGTTGAAATATATATGAAATACCTTCTGATTTAAGACAGAACTGTTTAGATTAAGGTGCACTATTCCCTAAATAATTAAAATGTGAAGACCAAATATACCACCATAACGGATTTCTCATATTTGTCATATCATTATATTATATGGGTTTAATGAATTTGCAGACAGTTATCTGTAACTGTCAGATAACTGTATTTTCACTGTCTTAGAGGAGAATGCCATTGAATGTGTAGCTAATATGAAGTGGGTTTTCATGAAAAAAGCTAACTAAAATCAGAACTGAAAACAAACTCAGGATGAAAAAAAACTCCCAATAAATGTTCAAACAGTGATTCTATCACAGCATTTATTGTGTTATATCTTGTGCATCATTTACATTTTGCATTTGATGTTGATTTGATAGGAAACATTATAATTGTTACTTATTAATAGCATCATTGTACAAATTGAGAATTCATTGCACTGATTTTAAATTCAGTTTAGGTATCTGACATAATATGACATGACATTGATCTTTTATATGCAGTGTGTCTTAAAAGCCACCATCGTCCTCAGTCATCTCCCCTTACTCTGTTTATGTGGTAAGTGAAATTTTATGTACTGTAATGTAACAGTCAACCGTTAGCAATCTATTGTGTTTTCCAGTCGGGCTACCAAAATGTATCACTGCCCTACCCGACGGGCTATCTTGAATAGTGATATAAAATCCCTTCCTTAATTCGCGTTGTTCACTCGCTTGTAGGCATCATAGTTTATCATTTACACGTGTTTCTAAGTCGTACCAATTTAAACATTCAAGCGTTTTAAACCATTCATGCACCTCGCGCGCACACGCTCAAAGCGCACACATACAGAGCGGCGTTTCAGGCAGAGCATTGATTCCTCTTTCGCTTGAACAGACACATACACGCAAAATTATCTCAAAATAACTATCTCGGCAAGTATTTTCATGTCTTAAATGAAGGTAAACAGTGAAGAAAGAAATCGCACGTGCATCCATTATATTGGATCCGTGCATTCGGTCTTAAAGGGGCAGCAGCCTATAAATACCTGCTGTTTAAGCGCCACCTGCTGTCAGAGAGTGACATTTGCGTCTCATTCAGCCCGTCTGCTGTTTTTGTTTCGTTCAGATTTTTTATGTAGTATCACAAAGCTAAAGTCAGACCATTTTGTTTTTGTTTCAAATTTAAAAATTTTACAATCTAAATAACATGTATGCAGCATCTTTGTTTGGATCGTGATTAAAATACACAGGCAAAACCTTAGTTTACTTGCATGGAGACATTTCTTTTATTTGTATTGTTTATTTATTTGATTTGGGATTTGTTTTAAAAATTCAAATTAGTACATTGTTTGACATTATTTCACAAAGTAATGTGCAGCCTTT